CGTGCAGTTGTTCCTTCACTCATCTAGGCAGGTTACTGTGAAATTGCCAACTTCAAAGGACCCCAGAAGTTATCACTGCGAGTGAATATGTCTATAATATATTTCACTCTCTGATGCCTTAGTATAGACTATAGATCTTGCTATATTGAGACAAAGTGTGGTGTCGAACTTAAACCACTAACCACTCAGGCTTTGTTCAGTTGCTTCACATGATTACATTATTAACCTTCATTAGAACTGGCAGGAAGGGGAAGTAATTGGGTAGGTTAGCACGATGGAGCTATTAGCCCCCCTTCTGACAACACAGAAATCATTCAGGGCAGAAAGCCCCATGGTTGACCTTCTCATCTCCTTGCCAATTAAGGACATTATGATAGTCAACTAACAAGCATTTGAAGACGTTGGTTTACCACCGGCCTGAATAACTTTGTTCCCATCAGGCAAGAAAAGTGGTAGCTTTCCCAATTTCTCCCCTGGTGAGGTGTGCCTTGATTTTCCCCAATCTAGGGTCGTTTGACAGCACTGAGTGGGATGAGGAGTTGCAGGATTGGTTGTTGAAAGCCAAGTCCCTACCCTTTTCTTAGGATGCCCAGCCACCTGAGCCCCACAAAATAGACATACCTGCCATCGCAACCCCCACCCCATTCCCACCCCTCCCCCACTAAACAGACTTACCTGTTTCCCTCACATCTGTGAAAGCAGGAGTCCTGAAGCTTACACTTGATATACCAGTTTATGGAAATTGAATTATATTCTACTTCAATGCTGTTTCAGTAGAGGTGTTAATTCATTCATTTTAAGCTGATTAGCAGGTCTGTTTGTGAGTCTAGTCGAGAGAATTTCACCCAAACATCAAGATTTCGTATGTGATGACCTTACAGCTTAATTTCAGGATCACAATCATTAAATGCAGTTTGTTTACATGGCAGGGTTTAAATTAGTCTGGCATGGGGGATGGGGCCATAAAAAGTAGTGAGACAAAACAGAAGGTTGAGGCTAGTGCAAAAATTAAAGTGAGGAATTTAAATAGACAGGCAGGCAAGACCATGGCAGGAAACAAGGGAAAACTGATGAATTAAACAGCATTTATTCCAATGCGAGAGGTCTGACAGGTAAGGCAAATGAACTGAGGGTGTGGATGAGAACGTAGAACTGGGATATCATAGCTATTAGAGAAACGTGGCTGAGGGGGGAACAGCACAATGTGGAGCTGGAGGAACACATCAGGCCAGGCAGCATCAGAGGCACAGGAAAGCTGACATTTCGGGTCGGGACCCTTCTTCAGGAATGTTAAGTTTAGTGTTAAGGGCTTAGATGGGGAGAAATTTGTTCAGTGTGTTCAGGAAAACTTTCTCAATCAATATGTAAATGGGCTTACTAGAGAATGGGCAAAACTTAACCTCCCCTTAGTAAATAAGGCAGGGCAAGTGACTGAGGTGCTAGTGGGGGAGCATTTTGGGACCAGTGACCATAATTCCATTAGTTCCAAAATATTTATGGAGATGGATTAATCCTGTCCACAGTTAAAGGTCCAAATTGAAGCAACGCCAATTTTGATGGTATTAGATAGGAACTGTCAAAAGTTGGGGAGGCCGTTTGCAGGTAAAGGGATGTCTGGCAAGAAGGAGACATTCAACAGTGAGATAATGAGAGTTCAGGGCCAGCATGTTTCTGTTAATGTGTAGGGCAAGGCTGGCAGGAGTAGGGAACACTGGATGACTAGAGATATTGAAGCTCTGGTCAAGAAAACGAAGGAGGCATATGTCACATATATCAGATGTAGCCAGCTGGGATCAAGTGGATCCATTGACGATTATATGGGGTATAGGAGTACACTTAAGAGGGAAATCAGGATGGCAAAAGGAGAACATGAGATAAGTTTGGCAGATAAGGTAAAAGAGAATCAAAAGAAATTCTACAAGTATATTAAGGGCAAAAGAGTGACGAGGGAGAGAATAGGGCCCCTTAAAGATCAACAAGGTCATCTGTGTTTGGAGCCACAGGAGCTGGGTTAAAACCTAAATGTATATTTCTTGTCGGTATTTCCCTTGGAGAAAGAAATGGAAGCTAGGGACCTCAGGGAAATAAATAGTGATGTTCTTGAAAAGAGTCCATATTCCAGAAGAGGAGCTGCTGGAGTTCTTAAAATGCGTAAAGGTAGATAAATCCCCGGGACCTAATCAGGTGTATCCCAGGACATTGTGGGAAGCTACAGAAGAAATTGTGGGGGCCCCTATCATCAACAACCGTGGGTGAGGATGGCTAAAGTTATGCCTTTATTTAAGACAGGCTGCAAGGAAAAGCTAGGGAACTAAAACTGGTGAGCCTAATGTCGGTGGCAGGTAAGTTGTTGGAGGGGATTCTGAGAGACAGGACACGGATGCATTTGGAAAGGCAAAGACTGATTAGGGATAGTCAGCATGGCATTGTGTGTGGGAAATCATGTCTCACAAATTTGACTGAGTTTTGTGAAGAGATGACTGAGAAGACAAATGAAGACAGAGCAGTAAACGTTATCTTACATGAACTTTAATAAAACCTTTGACAAGCTCTGCCTGGTAGACTGGTTAGTAAGGTTAGATCACATGGGATCTACAGAGATCTAGCTGATTGGATACAAAATTGCCTTGCCGGTTGCAGACAGAGGGTGGTGGTAGAGGGTTGTTGTTCAGACTGGAGGTCCGTGACCAGTGGTGTGCCATAAGGATTGCTGCTGGGTCCGCTGTTGTGTTTGTCATTTAAATGAATGATTTGGATGAGAAAATAGGAGGCATGGTTAGTAAGTTTGTGGATGAAATCAAAATTGGTGGAATACTGGACAGTGAAGAAGGTTATCCAAGAGAACAATGGGATCTTGATCAACTGGCTCAGTAGACTGAGGAATGACAGATGGAGTTGAATTCAGATAAATGCAAGATGTCACATTTTGGTAAGATAAACCAGGACAGGACTTACACAGTTGATGGTAGGACCCTGGGGAGTGTTGTCAAACAGAGAGACCTAAGGGGTGCAGATTCATAGTTCCTTGAAAGTGGTGTCACTGGTAGACCGAGTGGTGAAGAAGGTGTCTGGTATGCTTCCTTCACTGGTCAGAGCACTGAGTAAAGGAGTTATGACATCATGTTACAGTTGTATAAGACATTGATAAGGCCACATTTGGAGTATTGCATACAATTCTGCTCTCTTTGCTATACGAAGGATGTTATTAAACTGGAAAGCGTGCAAGACAGATTTACAAGCATGTTACTGAGACTGGAGTGTTTCAGATATAAGGAGAGCTGAATTGGCTGGGAATTTTTTTCACTGGAGCGTAGAAGTCTGAGGGGTGACCTTGCAGAGGTTTATAAAATCATGAGGGGCATACAATGAGGTAAATAGCCAAGATCTTTTCCCCAGGGTAGGGAAGTCCAAAACTAGATGGCATCAGTTTAACATGAGAGGGGAAAGATTTAAAAGGGACCTAAGGGGCAGCTCTTTCACACAGAGAATGATGCATACGTGGAACGAGCTGCAAGAGGAAGTGGTAAAGGCAGGTACAATTACATCATTTAAAAGATATTTGTACAGGTACATGGATTGGAAAGGTTTAAAGGGATATGAATCAAATGCAAGCAAATGGGGGACTAGTTCAGTTTAGGAAACCTGGTTGGCATGGACAAGTTGGGCTAACGGGCCTGTTTCCATGCTGTATGACTCTGACATTTTGACTGTCTAACTCATCAATTTTTTTTTGTATGATGTTTTGTTAATTTTTTTTCACATGCCAAAAGTACCTATTTATGAAGTGCTTTGACATTTTAAATTCACAAAGGCTTTCTCTTTAATCTCAGGAGTTGACTAATAATTCCTCTAAATTGGATGAGATACTGCTCTATACCACTTAATTGTACATCATATTAAATTTGTTTTGATTGAATTTTAATAAATATAACATAATCAGGCTATATTGCACTTCCAGGAGTGATTATCCCTGTTTAATGAAATAAACCAGAATGATTATTTTGCCAGTTTTATATTTGTGGCAGAAACATCGCATCATGGAATCCACTTTGGATCTTAATCTCAACTTGCCCCTGTGACTTCTTCCATTGATAAACAGTATGAGCATGTGAAGAAAAAACAAGACTGTTCTGTGTAATGATGTCTAAGATTACGAAGCATAATATTTTTGTATGCTCTAGTCAAGTAATGCTTACTTTTTAAATTTGATACATATACATTATTGAGGGCAGCTGTCAATTTTTTTTCTTCAATTTTTTACTGGAAATAGTTCAATGTGAGAAAACCATCTGTTATTTTTTAATACAGGCTTACATCAAACTCATCCATAAGAGGAAACTCAGTTCAACTGTTTTAAAAGAAAATATGGGCCAAGAAAATTATTCAGTCTAATGCTGTGATCTCTCAGATTCTAAAGAAGATGCTATTGTTAAAAAAACCTAGGCTAGACTGCAGTAACACTATTATAGGACAAAGCCTGGTTGTAGAAGGAATTGAGCATATCAAGGTTTTGTATGTTATTCCCTCACAGTATCATTTCAGGATCAAGAACTTTAAATTCAGTTTGTTCACATGACATTTTGACAGTCCAACTCATCAAATTGTTTTGTATGGTAAGTAGAAGTACACAAGTTGGAGTGAAGATAAGACAAACTGAGAGGTTGTAAGTGATAACTACTAATTGTATGGTTTTAAAGACCTAAAGACTGTGGGTTAAAATTGGGTTAAGTAGTGAATCAATGACTGCTATTGTTAGATGGCTATTGATTTTGATAATATTTCAGGAAAATATAGTTGCCTTTGTCCACTGTTTTAAGGATTTTCATTAGCTTCTTAACTCGAATTGGTTTGACGTTTCAGATTTTGGTAAACAAAATGCCCAAAGTGCATGAAGATCATCGCTGTACTGTAGAGTATTTGCGAACTTCATAACAATAACAGCCAGCACTTAATTTGGTTTATTATTTATGGTATGATTTATATTGATTTTAATTTTCCAGGTTCACTCAAGCTGGCTATTACTCATCCTGAGTTTTACTGGTATGTTGATGAGGGACTAACAGCCGAAAACATGAAAAGCTCACTGCTTCGTAGTGAGATCTTGTTTGGAGCCCCACTTCCCAATTACTACTCAGTGGATGACCGATGGGAAGAGCAGCACAGAAAGTTTCAGAAGTTTGTGATCTCTTATGCTGATCTTTTGGCTTCACAATCCACCAAGTGAGTAACATCAGTATGTGATTGAGCTGAAGAGAAGATTCTGTCTAGGCATTTGTATACCTAGTATGGACACTATCCTGTATTATGCCTTTAAAGCTGCTTTATTTTCTTTCAAGTTTTATGTCTAAAGGCCTTACCAATACTTCCACAAATATTAGTTTCTCTTCATTAAGTTTCCAAAAAGACCATTCCTTGTGTGACTTTTCCATTGTGCTTCATAGCTGAGTCCTATCACAACAACCAATGTCCACAAATGTACATTTCAGCAGGAGTGAATGGCTTGTGATTGGAAGTGAAATTCCAGATTTTTACCTATTGCTAGAGACCAATTGCAATGATATTACTGTTAACAAAACTGAGATCAGCTAATTCAATTCAGACCAGGAGTCAAACCTAGAGCCTTTGAGGTTTCTTTGGCTCAATTCCTTACTAGCCAGTGCAGTTCCCAGAAGGACATGAATAAAACAATCCTATCTTTCTCTGTTCTATTTTCAGCTTAGCTGCGGCAAAATTTACACTGTAACCCCAGTTCATCGATTGCTGTGTGACGCATGGTAGGATGTTAGCAGTATTATTTTGTGTTACTAACTAATTGAATAAAAAGGCTTATTCCCAGGTTCATGATGTAGGACTGAAAAAAATTAAGGTAAATTGTTGAACAAGGTAAAAGTTTCACATACTGGCGTTACGAGGCAAAAACAAATAGGAAATTAACAGTATGAAGGGAAGTTGGTATCAGAATTTGGAATACATTACATTAGAAGGCCATGGTTTAAATTAGTTATCCCAGTATATATCTAGTTCAGGTGATTGTGAAATATTGGAGACTTCATCCCTGGAGGTGGAGGAGAAGAGAGCCACAGGAATGGGCTTTAGCATCACAGATCTGAGCTTTGTAAAGAAAACCTTTAGAAGTGTTAAATATTTTAACTTCAGGAGAAGTTAAAAAACCTGTCCAAAATTACTTGGAGTATTTTTGGAAACATAAATCTAGAACGCTACTTCAGGTTAAGCTGTATCAGTAGAACAAAGAGGCACAAGCTAAAAGTAGGGGCCAGTTTCAAAAAGTTATTTGTAAACTTATGACATTGAAGTCTGAGTAAGGTGACTGAGACTCAAATTCCTGGAAGTGTTTTTAAGAAACATTTCTAAGAAGTATGTTGGACAATAGAATCTTTCCTAAGATTGACTTATCAACCTCCCACATCATAATTCACTTGTGTCAAAATTAAAGATGTTGAAAAAAGTTAAACAGGTTTATTGTATTAATAAATAGAGTTGTTGCCTAATCAGCTGAGTATTTACAGAATGTTTAGGTTCTGTTGGACACCACAGCTGTTCTCTTTCAGTTAACTTCTCTGTTTTCCTTTCTATGGATTACATTCTATTAAATAGAACTGATAATATTGTGGGTACTTGGCATGAACTAACTGACTAAAAGTGAGCTGAATAACTACATTATAAAGAAACAATATTTAGGAAAACTCATGTCATAGAATCTTATTGTAATGACCAAAAGTGAAAACATTGACTGTTCCAAAAGCAGTCTGACTCTGGTTTCTTTCACACTGCATTTTTATCTACTTTATATTCAGACATGCACCCATAACCTCTGCTCCACAGTACTGATCTCTTTGTTTCCCTCTTTCTCCTCAGCGTGTAGTAATTTTCTCAATTGCATTCATACAAAGGCAGATAGAGCAAGGGTAGAAAGATTAGCATCCACAATTCACTTTTAAATCGAACCCTGAGCCAGGAAGATCAAGCCTGCACAATCAAAGAATATTAAATGGGTTTTCTTCAGGATCTTGCCTGAGAATAAACCTTCTTTGTAACAGTAAAATAATATCCAATAATGAATTATCCTGTGACATGGATAAGTTGTAGGAAAGTCATATGATCTGGCATGTCATTAAAACCAAGACCACATTTCAAATGCATTACAAATATTAATATTGTACAAAATCAAAATGACCAGCAGTGTCTGCAATTTGCTACTATGTCAACTGATCAGGATATCTCACTGAAGTAATTTAAACCTTAATGCAATATAAGTTGGGAAAAAGCAAGAACCATTAACCATTAATTTTGCCTCGCTGCTAGCCTCTTGACCTTAAAAGATCATTATATGAAGCTTTCTGTAAAGATTGTAAAGGAAAATTCCCATAAAATCATACCAAAACTATCTACTCGTACCAAATGTCTCTCTCTATTACTGTAACGCTGACCCACGGCCATGCTGTGGGCATTTTAAGTGTTCATAACAAAACAGTATGGATTTCTACCTGGAACAGAGCAAGATGAGTTCCATTCAACCAAACCTGCCCTTTCCAATGAATCAGTTATAACTTCTGCTCAATGTACAGTGTACAGAACTTAATGCAATATTTGTATTCTTATTTAAGGAAGGATGCAATTGCATTGGAAGTGTTGAGGGAAAGTTTATTAGACTAACATCTGGATTGGGTAGTTTGTCTTATAAGGAAAGGTTGGATAGCCTAGACTTGTATCCACTGAAGTTTAGAAGAATAAGAGCCAATTTAATTGAAACATTTAAACTCCTAAGGGGTCTTGGCAAGATAGATATGGAGATGATATTTCTATAACTATGGATTACTGTTTTTTTAACGGAGGGTCAGTTAACTCAGTTGGCCGATGGCTGCTTTGCAATGCAGCATGATGCCAATAGCATATGTTCAATTTCTGCACCGGTTGAGGTTACATGAAGGATTCTTAATCTCAACCTCTCCTTTTGCTGATAGTGTGGTGACCCCTCAGGTTAAGCCACCACCAGTTGTCTCTCGCTAATGAGCAGCCCTATAGTCTGAAAGGACTATAGTGACTTTACCTTTTTACTGTTTAAAAATAAGAGACCACCCATTTAAGGCAGAGATAAAGAGGAATTATTTAATTTAGAAAGGATCATGGGTCATTAGAATTCACTTCTATAAAAGGCAGTGGAAGCAGAGTCTTTGAAGGCAGACGTAGAAATGTTCTTATTGAACAAACTTGTAAATGGTTGCCAGGGTTAGATGGGAATGTGAATCTCATTGCATGGCAGAGCAAGCTCGAGGAGCTGAATCTGCTCCTATGATGCTGCTTGGCCTGCTGTGTTCATCCAGCCCTGCACCTTGATCTAGTCCTGCTCCCACTTTGTATGTTTGTATGCTGTCATAAACACTTTAATCTTCTGTGATGTTGTGAAGCTGAAATATAGGTGCAAGCAGTAAGTTCAAGAAAGAAAAGTGTAAAATTACTCATTTTTAATAATTTTGTAGGGTCTGAGCATCAGTGGCAGGGCCAGGATTTGTTGACCTTCTTGAATTGCCCTTGAATTGAGTGGCTTGCTAGGCCATTTGTAGTTAAAGGTTAAATACATTGGCTGTGGGCCTGGAGTTACATGTAGCCCACATTAGGTAAGGATGGCATATTTTTTTCCCTCAACGATAATGATGAACAAAACGGTTTTTACAACAACTGATGGTAGTTACATGGCACCATGATTGAAATTAATTTAATAAACAGATTTAATTAATTTGTTGAATTTAAATTCCACCAGTTGCCATTGTGGGACTTGAGCGTATGTCCCAGGGCATTGGCATAAACCTCTGATTATTGGTCCAGTGATACTATCACAGCACCACCATCACCCTCAGTTTCCAAATTCAGATCAATTAGAAACATTCTAGGAAATTAGTTGTGTGTTACCATGTCCATTAGATCTTCTCATAGTGCATAATTTTCACACTTTTTGGCCAAGTGTTTCTTCAAGTGACATTTATAGCAGCCAGTTTAGCATAGTCTATGTTGATTTTTCTGATGCGAACTTCCATTCTTTATCTCATTAATAATGCAGCTGGCCTCTTCTGCCCAGTCTCAATGAATTGTAAAGGAGGAGAGACAGGAATGCTCACTACTGCCAGGACTTTGTAATATACAATACTGCTGGTGCCATATTTAAATCCCAACAGTGCACTGCTTCAATCATCAGAAGATTATCTTTATTCATTCATGGGATGTGGGCATCGTGGCTGGACCAGCAGTTATTGCTCATCTCTAATTGCCCAGAGGGCAGTTAAGAGTCAACCACATTGCTGTGGGTCTGGAGTCACACGTAGGCCAGGCCAGTCAGGGTGGCAGATTTCCTTCCCTAAAGGACATTACTGAACCAGATGAGCTTTTCCTGACAATCCGCAATGGTTTCATGGTAGTTATTAGATGCTTAATTGCAGGTTATTATTGAATTCAGATTCCACCATTTGCTGTGGTGGGATTCGAACCCAGGTCCCCAGAATATTACCTGAGTGTCTGGATTAATAGGCTAGCGATAATATCACTAGACCATAGCCTACCCAAGTCTGAGAGTGCACTTCATACTGTGGTGTTCCAGCGTTATCCCCAAGGAAATCAACAATAAGTGGAAGTTAGTTCCCTACTTTGTAGGCAGGGACCTCAAGGTGCAGATGTACGAAGTGATGAAGAGGAGTGCCATCCTTGTTTCTGCTGACCAGCAAAGGAGATGTAACCAGACCTATTAGTCCTGGACAGTGATAGTTGCCCAGGTTAGTCTCCCAGATTAAAATACATGTCCAGCTGTTCAGGAGGAAAGGAAATATCTTCTGTGTTATACAAGGGTAAGTGCCACCAGGTATTCTCTGCCACCTCACACTTACAGGATCCCCATTCTTCAAACCTTGCCATGCCTCCTACCGTTCATATGCTCTCCCTATTGCATGCAGCATGTCCGCTAAACTGCTCTCACCCGCCTCATCCTCCCAATCTATTAGCCCTTCCTGCCCTTTGTGTTTCATGCTTACTCATTGAGGACACCTCATCACCTGTCTTGCCCCACCCCCCGTCCCGCCACCAGCACCACCACCACCACCACCACCAATGGCTTTTCCATCTATTTCCATCACAAATAACCCTTCTTTTGTCTCATAGCAGGCGAAAATGGACAGAAGCTGCTCACCTCACTAGAAAATGGAAGAATAAGGCAA